TATCTTGTGGATTAACTAGCAGACCATGGTCTGCCCTGTTCTGTACAGTAACACTTTTAGGCTGTCAAGACTGCAGAATTCTTTCATAAGAAGCTTTTCTGGAAGAGATTTTCTGAAAAAACTTCCAAAAGAGAGCATCTACGCAGCAAAAGCGCATTGAAAAAGCAGTCTGCTTTTTCAAAAGATAGCATCCACATTGAATGGATGCTCTCTCACATTTAAGCTGTGATTTCTATGGACGGTCACCAGGGAACTTGTGCTTTTTCCCCTTTCCTCTTCTTTCGAAAGAACTCCCTCTTCCCCATCCATACACGCCTTTTCCCGGAAGAGCTCTTTCGGGAAAAGGCTTCTTCCTTGTAGAAAGAAGTTTACCAATGTTGGAAAAAACCCTCTGTTCTTTCTTTTTTTTTTTTTTCGAAAGAACACGAATGCTGTGTGGACGTAAGTGAAGTTTTATCGGAAAAATTGCTGTTTCCCGAAAAAAACTCTGCTGTGTAGACATACCCTTAAAGAAGGAGAAATGGTCAGGGAAGGGGGTTGAAGAAAAAGACAGAAATCTTGTCCACTGGCTTCAGAAATGTTTCCTCTCCTCCTTTAGGTAAATTGTTTTGTCTGTATTCAGGGGTTAGACTGCAAGATCCAAAATATTCTCACATTTTCAGAACAATCCACTTCGGATTAAATTATTTAAAATCCATATTTCCATCCTAAACCCTTATTTTTTCTATTTGTCCTCTGACCCTGAACCCTTTACACATCGTTACTAAATCTCCCTGCTATCATGCTTTTCCAGAATTCTGCTAGTTGTCTTTCTAGAGTCTCCTTATTTTGGCTTCTTATTGGTTTAATGAAATATGAAGGGAAGCAGAAGCAAGTGCAGCCTGTATCTTTGCTCTGTCACTCATGAAGCTTTCATTACTTAAGAAATACAGGTGCACACAGCTGTATTTTATCAAGTAATTTTCTTCCATGAATCTAAAGAAACTTCTTCGTGAGAGAGAGGGCCAAACACCAACATGTATATTATCAAAGCCAGCTCTTTCCCCTCACAAGTATCCCTAGGAATACAATCACCACTAGGAGTCAGACCATCCAAACCTCTAGCATTTAATAATGTAGGCAGAATTTATCACAGCTCAGGATAGTTGCTATATCTCTTGATACTTTCTTTTTTTTTTCTTTTTTTTTGGAACAGCATAAACCATTAATGTACTTGAAAACCTGAATGTGGTGTTTAACACCATGTGGTACTCTAGAAAAAGGAAAAACTGACTGTACTGTAAGATCTAAGCTCGCATTCACTGTGCTGTTCCTCCACTTATATTATTTAAGGTAGATCTGTAGCTACCCACATGACAAATTAATGTTGTTCTACAGCAGTCAGGTGCTTGGCATCACATTTTGAAGCCTCTACAGGCCTTCAGGGCTGAAAGTGTTCACTTCTTCAGCAATCTATAACAGTTCCTCTAGAGGCCAGCACTTGGTTCACAATGAAACATGACTCCATAAATCAGACTGCAGAAGTAGCACTTGTGTACGTCACTATCCATCTTAGCAGTTTCTCTGAAGGATGTTGGGTAGAAATCATCTCTCAGCATTGCAACTAGGGAAGGACCATCACAGCTGGCATTGACAAAGCATGTGCTACTGAAAACTGAAGACACACTAAGTCTGAAAAAAAACAACCCACATCCTGCTGGTGTTAGCATGCCTCAGGCAGTCGGAGAAGCTTCAGCAACTCATCTTCAAAAGGCAGAGAGCCAGGGCTCCAGAAACCTGCAAAAATTGGCTATGCCTGCAGTCTTCATTTCTTTAAGTTGAGCATCTTCAAAGTCTACAATTCTAACTGTAGGGCACAGCAGCTGCCATTGCAGATTTGATCCTCTCAGCTTTTGGCAGCTCTCAACTTGAAATTCTAGCAAAAGAATTTTTCAAGTTCCTATTATTGCCTGTCATGGATTTATAAATATTGTGCACTATCTGCTGTGGCATGGCTCTCATGGGACGCCAGTGCATGCCAAAAGCATAACAGAATGAAAAACAGTTCCTATTCTTCAAATAAATGCTAATTTTTTTAACTGTGCTCACACGATGTGTTTGGTGATCAGCTTCAATAGTACAGAATATATATCAGAGGGAAAAAGGCTGATTGTCTTTTCCAGCAGTATTCAGCTGCTACTTTCATTAAGCTTGTTTAATTAGATTCCAGATGCTAATTTGCAAGTCGATACCAGAGGGTGCAGGACAGTTTGCCTTTGAATCATGTTCTGTGATGTGATGGTCTTGCAGCACACCACTACCTTTCAGAAGCCCCAGCAAGATATTTTGACAATTAATGCAAAAGGGAGCAATACTGATCTTGACAGAAAAATATTAGTTTTCTACCCAGTTTTAATGAATTAATCTCCAAGAATTCTAAATCTCTCATCCCCGCAATGTGTTTTAGCAATGGACAATTGTTATGTCCAGATCGTGTATTACAAATACTGGCTGCATTTATGTGATTTTGTTTACTCCTTTCACTAGAACTATCATTAATGTTTATGTTTATATTAATATTAACTATCATTACTATTTATTTTGTTTTTTTATTCTTATTCAACATCCCAAGTATTAAAAGAAAGTCCAAAAGTCTTCCCAGTTAGCTCTTAGCTACATGAGATTGTTCGGATGGGGTATTATATCCTTATTTTAATTAACAGAATACCTTACAAACTCAAAACCAAGCTTAAATTATATGCTAGTTTCTAGACCTACATAATTCCAACAAATTGGCAAGACAGCATTTCTACATGATTGATACAGTAGTGAATTTCTCCTGCCATTTAGGGTTGTATATGAAGACAATTTCATTAGGCTGACCATTTTAAGTAGAAAAATTGGAAGTTTACTAATTTCTGATGCTTTTTTATTTTTTTAAGATGTTACACTCAAAAATGGCTTTAAAAACCAAAAAGCTTGGCACCTCATTGAAAATAAGATTTACACTTTTCCTTCCAAGATGGTGAAAACAATGCTACTGAATTTTAAAAGGCGTTGTAGTGCAGTAGTAATCGTGAGAGATTATAGCGCAGTGGGGATTGTTCTCACGGATATTAGCCCTTGCTGTCAAATCAGACAGCACATGTTAAAATCCAGAGTTACACAGGACATTGGACAAGAGTCACCAGTGATGTGCCACTCACAAGGGTTTGTTTGCATTCTGCAGGCAGAGACTCAACCTTTGCTTCATATTGAACGGATTTTTCTGTTAGTCGCACAACCTTAATGCTATTTAAATGAAGGCGTTTGAGTGCCTAATTAAAAATATTCCAAATTCTGACAACATTGCTTATGCATTCTAGGCACTAAACAAAGTCCTGTCTCATTAGGTGCTCTCTGCAGCACAGCAGCTCTGCAATCTTGATCCTGTTTGTTATCAAAACTTAAAAAAATATTGTAACAGAACTATAACTATTTCCTGTGTAACTTCTAGGAAGAGCCTCTATAGCATCAATATGAACAGTGACCCATTTATTGCCCAAAGTGCAATCTTTTAACCAATTTAACAACTGGAAAAACAAGTACTACTAATGTTTATTCAATTGTCAATCCATGTGACATTTCCCCATAAGAAAATTTAACGGAATACAGCAATGCACTTAACATTGTACATTTAAATAATTTCAGACAGGAATTTACAGGAATTATGGGATCACACTGCTAAAGACACGTATCAGTTGAATGAAGACTTAAGAAATTGGTCTATAGCAGAAATGCAACAAAATTAGTGAAATCTGAAGACATTTACTGCAGTTAATCAACGTTGTGTTTTGCTGCTATGTGATTCGGTTAAATACAAAATACCATAAAGTGAGGTTATAGTGATCTTTGACATGCTAATGACAATTGTGGAAAAAAACCTAAGTATTAGTGTCATTTTTCATCTATTTTGCATTGAATTATCATTTTTTCTTTAAAATGTGGAAATATTAATTGATTGTGAGTAGAAGCAGTATGCATTCAAGGAAAGTTTGAAGAGATTCATGTGGTTTAAAAGAGGGCTTGACATTACTGGGGCATTTTACCGGACACAGTGATAGGAAGCTTCGTAATTTTTTTGGTTTTATTTTCATCAACAGACAATAGTGGATTTTTCATCTCTTTAGGTGAATATTTATTGAGTAACACCTTATCCTAGGTACACCTTATCTCTACACAGGTGTAAAGAAATGCTATACATAAATAAAAATAATGCAACAGCTATGTTCATAAACAGATCTAATGAGAATGGACCGTCCTACTCTGCCACATTACGCATTCAAAACTCCAGCATGGCACCACTACTTTCCGCTTTTACTCCTACATTACCACCACTACATAGTAAGATGCATTTTTAGATTATTCAAGTTTGAGACAGACCATCTGCAAAGCAACTTATAAATGTTCCGATAACACCTTTTATGTGGATTCTGAAGACTGGAGTACAATTGTTATTCAAATGGGCACAGCCAACTTGAAACCCAGCCAGCTTCAAAAAGCAAGTTAACGATAGTTTCAAGTATTGGCTTCTGCCAGTTTTTGTGGTTTGATAATCACATTTCTGTACCACAATGAGAAAGACACACAAACAAGGGGGAGAATGAGAAAAGGACTCCACAGGGGAAGCAGTGATACAGATTCTACTGACATTCTCAAATACCTAAAGTAAACTGCAAACAGAGAATTATTTCTCCTCCAATCTTTCTCCTCCATTAATCATCCAAGCTTTTGTAACAACCAATGAAAATAATTACAGACAGAAAGAGTGGGATTCGTAAGCTGGCTGTGCCCATTTGAATTTTGACAGCTTTCCAATGAGCCAGCATACTACTGAGCGTGGGTTAGAGCGGGAGGGTTATGCTTGGTTAAAAAAGTCAAACAACACTCAATATTAGCATCAAATCCATGTGATGTAAGTTCCAAAACTGTGAATTACTGAAAGAAAGAATACTAAATTAAAACACCCCAATATTCCTTACCTCCATGTCTGGTTTGTATTTATCTTCAAATACTGCCATGGCTGCTAACGATCCAGAACCTACAATAATAAAATTCAGACATTTATTTCAATGTTGATGAATTTACAACAACTGCTGAATTTCTAGAGTGTGTTTTTAAAAGAAAACAAGAGTGGTAACTGCAATACACCTTAAAAAAAACTGACCCTTATTCTACATTTAAATGTCCGTTCTCATGACTGATGACACTTACCTGAGACCCAAAATTACTTCTAGTCTATACAGACTTGGTGTGGTCCTAATTATTTACAGTAAAACACTGAAGTATGAAAACAAGGTTACAGAAAGAGTTAAAAGACTGCCAGAGTTTACATTTCTTCTACTGCTCCTGTGCCTGGCCAGGTTGCAGGGTATAAATACTAAATATCAAGACACTTAGAAAGAAGAGACTGTATTAACGGGCTGCCAGGGATAGTAACCGTGACACATGGAGACAAGTGTATCAGCAAAGGCAATAGCTGCTACCACCAGGTTATTTTCCACATCTACTTTTAAAGAGTTTATTATGCAGCAATTATTTTGAGCGATTGTTTTTTATTTTGAACAGTAACAGCAAATAGATAAAATGACAAATGTGGAGTCAAGAATTTAGTATCACATCTCTGACCCAGACAAAGATTGCACAAGGGCACTGAAGAAACGAGAACCCCTTTTTCCTGAAGCAATGTGATTGCAGGCCTTATAAATAAATATACACTCCCTGAACATGGACAAAAAGCAGCTCAGTGCTATTTGAAATTTTAGACTTGCTTTGTTCAGGAAAAAAGTGGCTCTTTAGGAAGACATCATCTTGTCTGCACATGGCCCTGACAATATTTCAGGATGCTCTACTTTTGGAGAACGAATAAAGTTACCAACAATTTTTTACTCCAATTAAAGATTTTTTTGGCATTTATTACTTTTTAACTTGTTTTGCATACCACTATCTGTTTAGCTAGGTCACACAGAAAGCCATATTTTCTATTTAAAATGATTTGTGTACATCGCTTGACCACCTCAATGGTTTAGCAAAAGAAAAAGGCAGCGATTAAACAGTTTCAAATGAGGTGTCCTGCTGATTTTATCAAGTCTGCTGAATGTATAATGAAAAAGGAGAAGCTGACAGTGACACTGTTGAGGAAATACAGACTACCTTGTCTGAACCATTTAAGGAGGTCCAATTATAGATCAAATTTAAAGGGTAGAAACAGCAGATTTACAGACACAAATCAATGAACATGGTAATCCCAATGAATATGACAGATATTCCTGTTACAGAATATTGCTGTGGTTGAGGATCATTACCTTTACAGTACCAAATACATCACATCGAAAAGCAGTAGGATGCTCCGATTGTGTACTTGTATTACAAGCAATGACTATTCATTTAGACCTTGGAGCAATGTGTGTTTTAACAGCTAAAACTAGAAACAAAAAGAATTTTTGAAGGACTGGCAGCAGAAAAGAACTATGTGAACAGATGCTATCATCAGACACAACACCAAACAAAAGAAATTTCACTGATTCTCTAACTAAGGGCAAAATAAACAACGTTCTGGAAAAGATATGGGACCCTGTGTATAAATGAAGCTGCCAAAACAAAGCTAGTCTAGGTGGAATTATATGGAATAGCAATTCTAATTGGAAAGATAAAGAGCCTCATGGGGGGATTGATCCCAAAACTATAGGTGCCTCTTATTCACTCAGATAAGGCCCTCTACAAGCAGGATGGGAACCCTAATGAAAAATACTAAAACCCAGCATTTTAGAACTGCTAAGATCCAGGTATCTTTCATATAATTAACAGTATGACTGCACAAAAGATAAAGTTTCCAGAATATAAGACAAGATTGTTGCTTTTAAGTAACAACTGATCTATACATGAGAGAAAATGTTATATTCATTATCTAAAACTTCTGTTACTACTCTCCCAGTTCATATACCTTCAATTTGTACACGCACTTCCTGTATACACCAGTGGATACTCTTAGAGGAGAAAGAGCTCTCTCCACCATCCACTTACTCTACCTAGCACTTGTGTTGGTCTCTTCAATTAGAATGTTGCTTTATAAGGAAAAAAAACCAATCTCAAAGCACAAGGAAAGATGCAATCTTCTACTCTGCCAGTTGCTTGGTGAAGAGAGATCCCAAGAACAATATGAAGTGGGTTTTAAGCCCAAAAGGTTTAGAACCCCAAACTTTTAAAGAAAGGAAAGTCTTCTGTATATAAAAATGTTATGTAAGCTAATATAAATAACGTACAATTCAAATGCTCCTTGGAGTTGCCCCTTCTTATTTATATTGATCAAGATAGTTAGTAAGTATTAGATTTTAAATTCAAATTTAAAAATGAATTTAGTTTATCCCACACATAAGGAAGCTCTCAAGGAGACGTTGAAAGCTGTTAAATTCTGAGATCCGTGTTTTTCCATCTGTTACATTAGTTAATCTACATACATCCAGAAACAATGGAAGTCCAAGACGATCCAAACAAAACTAATAAAAATAGAAAGCAGAGTGTAGAGCAGGAGTACAATGTATCGCTACCAATTCTGAACTGCACAGCTGGAGTCTGTAAATCCCCAGTGTTTTATAGTTACAGTACAGCTTTTATTCCCTTACGCTGAAAGCAAAGTGCACTGATAGGAGACATGCTGCACAGCCCAACATGCTGTACAGCAACAGAGTTCAATACATCAGAGGAGGTACAGATTTTTGAACGATGGAGCTCAAGAGGCATCTACATCTGACAAAGTGGGTCTTTGCCAACGAAAGCTTATGCTCCTACACTTCAGTTAGTCTATAAGGTGCCACAGGACTCCTCGCCGCTTTTGGAGCTCAAGAGAGACTTTGGAAAATCTCTGAAGATTATAAATTGTATTTTTATGCCTTTTATATTTGCAACCTAGAAAAAGGGATGCATTTTTAGAAGACTACATAAATACTTTTTTTTTAATTCTGCATTCCTCTAAAAATCCAAATAATCCACTGCTTCCCAACAATGATGTGAGATACTTTGGACAATGAACTGTACCTAGATCCATTCAGACTAGAAAATGCATCGTCTGAAACCATAAACTGTTCACATTCTTCTGTTCAAGATGATGAACTCAGTCCTAACATCAGATTTTGGGCTGTTTATACAGCTGCAGGCCTGGCAGAAAGCCAGCTAAAGACAGTTGTTTCCACATACAGCTGTGGAACTTCACTATCAAATAACACCAGCTTCCCAGTGGTGTCACGATGTATGATCCAAAGAAATGCACAACGTTCCAGGTACTGGGGCTGTCTTGGGAAAGTTATACACTATATGCCTGGCAAACCAGGGCCACCCAGAGGATTCAGGAGGCCTGGGGCAAATCAATTTGGGGGGCCCCTTCCTGGCACTCCCTGTCTCAGACCTCAGATATTCTTGGGGGGCTTCCCCCCCGCCCCCTGGGCGGCCCTGTGGCAAACAGGCAATAAACATCCAGGGTACCAAGTGAAAGCTAGACATCTGATTTTTCTAATTGCAATGCCCATTGAAAACAAAGTAAAACCCAGGTATTTAGGCCATGGTGTCCAACCAGTGAAGCAGTAGCCACTCTAGTGGCTATTGCTAAAAGTGAACTAGCCACATTATTCTGATAACGTAAATAACTGTGAGAGCCAACTAGCCACACTCAACCGGCCAAATAGCCACATGTGGCTAGCGTGCTGGGCACCACGGTATTAAGGGACTGTGGATAGCCTGGCTGTATGTGCGAACCAAAGTTGTTCTCTTATTTACGTATTCTACAGCCACCAAACATTAATTTCTAAAAAGCATGGAGAGAGATGTTATGCATTTCCCAGTGCTAATGACTGAAGAGAGGTAAAGATCTTAACACTGCATTCCTTGCTG